ACTGTTTTCCCTGGTACAACCTGGAGACCTGCCTGCATAGGAAGCCAAAGGAAAACTGAAACTCTCTAAAGAGATCACCCAAAAGCAGAAAGTCTCCCCTGTGGAGTCCATCTCCCTAGCTCAGGATGCTGATGACACCCTGGCAGACAAGGACACAGATCCTACTGCACACTGAATTCTTGCTGCCACAACACCTAAAATAGCTGGCCTTACAGCTTTACGCATAAGACACATAAGATGTTCACACGGCAAATTACATAAAATGCACAATATTATCTAAGACCTGCAAAATTTTCATAACTGAGACACTTTATGAAATATATGTTTGAGAAAGTAACACAAACTTTTAAAGGGGAAGTAAAGAATTTTTGCAAGCATGGTTTTCTGGTATTACATCTTAAAATTACCTCCAAAATGCTTCCAGCAGAATGCAAAGTTAAGATAGAATTCAATCAAATTAAAAGTTGTCGTTTGACAAAACATTTCTAGTACACAAATACTTGTGACAAACAGCTAATTCTACCTATGGCACTCATATGTGTGAAAACCTATTGAATTCAATTATAAAAAATACTAGACAAAATATTTAGATGTTAGAAAGTATCACAAAAAGCAAATTTCTATTTGGATACCACACCTGGATTCAATGTTACATTCACCCAAAAAAGGAAAGAATATTGTTCATGAGATCAAAACCTAAAGTATCAATGACTTCTATGGTATACAATGGTCAAGAGCTAAGTAAACCAATAAGTAAGGGGAAAAAACTAAAGAGTATTTCCTACAAGTTTAGCAAAACAATAAAGTAAATCTTTAATATGAGGCAGGAATTATAGATTTTATTCCTCAGCTATATAAGATATTTCTATTTGGGGTTATAATTTCAAGTAATTAAAATGAGAACAAAATTAGTGAATAAAATGAAAAGTAGAATAGTAAAAAAAAAAACTTTTTAAAGAGTGTATGTATGGTTGGAAGTACTAAGGCTGTTATGCAGTTGAGAAAAATCCGACCCAAAGCAGAGTCTTAAAGAGGTGAGCTTACTCTAGGTCAATCAAAGTGATGCAATAAATAAAGGATCAAATGTCCAGAGTTTGGCTTGAAATTTTAGTTTTCTTCAATTTACAAAATAACAAAGTGCAGCATAGAATTATCCTTAATATTTTTAATACTGCAGGTAGTATTTTGTGTTACTTTTTGTGACTTCTCAGTCATTTACTATTTAACATTCACTTATTGTATTTCCCCCATAAATCTTAAATAAAAATATGGAAGCCAATGAGAAGATTATTCATGTAAAAGAAAGTCCAATTAGGGCCACCTACTATTATGTGAAAGCTAGTGCCCTCGGTGAAATAGTGTACAGTTTAATATTAATAAATCTACAGGGAAACAGATTCACATTGTTAGAGAGGGTACTTACAACATATTAAAGCTTTTCTAATTCTCATTAATATAAAAGTGACAATACATAGCAAAGGGAAATAAAAATATAGAAAATGTTAGATTGTTTCCATTTTAATGTAGAAACAAATCTAATGAATTTGCTGCATAAATAATATAGGACAGTTGCTATGAATCTCAATTTATGCTTTGAAATTATAATGAATAATAATTAATGGTGAAAAAATTTTGGAGTAATGATAAAATATACTGAGTTGTAATTGATTAGATGCTTGAATATTTTAGACAGTAAAAGCTTAGGAAAGGGGTACATGTTTACATCTAAATAGAATGAAATGTCATTGCCTAAATTAATAATGCAAACTTGAAAAATAGCCCCAGGTTCAAAAGACCAATTATAAAATTCTTTTGTAAACAAATCTATATCCACATTTTTCATAAATAGTTATTACTACTAGTATATGTGCACTAATGTTCAATTTATAAAATGAAAAAATATATTTTCAAATGAAATTTAAATAATACTGCAATTTCTAATGATAGTTACCTACCTGAAAATAAGTATTAATAATGGCAAAGATAAGAATACTCTATAGGAATTACTTTTATGTATCTATATTAAACAAATAAGAATCTAAGTGGGAAAAATTATTTAAGTATTTTAAGTAATAAACTATTATGGAAAGGTACCAATACACAAATATGACCTAATCTTCTTAGCAAATGTATTCATCTTATAGACATTTTTACCTTATAGATATTTTCATTATACAGAAATCATATATATTCAAATTTACTTGATCCTGTGAGAGAAGATGTTTTCTTATTGTTGTGAGGCAAGTATGGTAAGCATTTTTTATGCTATGCAACCAAAACAATCATTTTGAACTTAATTATCTGCTCATTTTTAAATCTTTTGCTTATCAATAAGAAAACAAAGGTATCTGTTGTAAATTCCACATTTCATTCATATCCCTAACTTCAGAAGCATTCATATATTTGCAAGTTTTCTGTATTTTTGTTCATAAAGCAAATCTAATCATATGGACACAGAATAATAAAACTCAAATGAACAAAAATTGTTCAAACTATTCTTTCAATAACAATTATTTAAAATTTTTTAATATAAAGTCACCCTTTTATCAAGGATTGTAAGCATTTCAAAAGAAAATGTGGTAGATTTGACTAGATTTAAATGTCCTGAGTACTGATTCATGGGACAGGCACAGTATTCTTAGAAAATACATCCCCTTTTCACTGCGGTGCATGCAGAGGTCTAACACAGTTAACAGAGATGGGTCCGGCTGGCTCAAGTGCATGTCTCAATGGAAGTGATGCTATTTCAGGGAGATCACATGGATAAGTGATATAACCTCAACCTTAGCAAAGATATAAGATAATTTCAAAGAGGAAACCTGAAATATTTTGAAATATATTTATGCAAACAAAGACTTAAGAGTCTACTAAAGTACAGTCCTAATCAGCAAAACAAAATTCAATTCCAGCCTTTTTAGTAATACTATCAAAATCCTTAAATTATACTTCTAGCAATTCCTTAAAAACACAAACAAACATAGATAAGCACAAAAATCTAAATAGGTCTTTTTCTTTTCTCTTTTAATCCTCACCCAATATTCTCCCATTTTTCCAATATATATGGGGTATATACATGACCTTGTTTGAAATAATAGTTCTGCTATTTAAAAATAACAGCTTGAAAACCATAGTTATGCAAGATAAATTAAACATAAGGGTAGTTACAATTTAAATGTGAAATATAAAATTTACAATGAAAGAAACAGAAAAGCCCCAAACAACAACTCAAACCTTATGCATAGAGTACAGACTAAAAAGATATAATCCTAACAGTAGGAGTGATAATTAAGGGAAATTTTTATAACTTTCTAATTTCTTTTTTGTGTTTTATAGGGAAGGCAACTACATGGTATGACCTCTTTAATAAGAAAAAAGAACCTCCAATAACATTTATTTTTTAAGAACTCAAGTTATGAGCATCTTAGAATTTCTGTGACTACCTCTAATCGGGTCACCATTTTACCAAACTTCCAAGAAACACCAATCTACTGTTCAGCAAAGACAGAACTCATAAAATGTTGAAAGAATGAATAATTAATGAATGAAATATATCTGTAATATCTCTGTACTATTAGATGACCTCTAAAATAAAACTTAATGCAATAATGAGGATAATAATAAAGATTATGGCAATATATTTACTGAATGCACAAGGTACATTGAGAGACATACAAAAACCAGTCTTTAAAAGAGGGCTTCAGATCCAGAGTCATAGAAGCATCAAATAGACTATCCAACCTATGAGGGAAGGTGTGGGCGTGAGGTGGGTAAGAGATTAGCCAAAGCACTTGCATGCAGGCATATGAGCATAACCAATGGACAAAGACAGGGGGCGGGAGGGAAGGTGAGGGCATGTGCTGAGGGTTGGGGGTGGCCGAGGAGAGGTCAATGGGGGGAAAAGGAGGCTTATGTAACACATTAAAGAATTTAAGTTTAAAAAATAAATAAGTAAAAAATAAAGAGGGCATCAGGTTTAAGGTACAGATTATAATATTTAACAAAGGCAGCTGTGCTGAAAGAACCATTCTCTGCATGTGTAACAGGCACCACGAGAGCTTCCGCTCCAGCATGAAGAAGGCCCTCCCACTATGATTCAGGCTACAGTTTGCTGGCGAAGCTCCTAAGGTAGAAGTCACTCGCTGCCTGCACACCCTGTGGTGTCTCACAGACACCTCAAGAATGCTGATTTCGCTCACAAGCTCCAGGTGCAATATCATCCCCATCTTATTGTCCCTCTGCCCTCTGTTCCTACACACACCTGGTCACAGAGGATGACTCCAGCTACTGAATCTCTCTCTTCTCTGCATGTCTGCTTTGCTGCCACTGACCACAACTCTGCAACAGGCAGGGCCCTTTGTCATATGGACCTCACAAGCACACATGCCCTCCAACATACCTTGAACATAAAAATGCTACTCTGCCAATATCTCCTGATTGCTTGTAGAGCATGCATGTGTCTGAAATTGACCAATCTTCTAAACTGGCTGAAATGCTTGCTCCGCTAGGACGACTCTTTCCGGCCAAACGTGTTCCTTCTCCATACACTGCCCTGGCTTCTATATTTACCCAGAGACCCTGTATTGAAATGATTTATGAACATTACAGGTCACCTATTATGCTACAGCACCCTTAAAGGCAGGAAGTCTTTCTAATGCTATCTCCATTGCCTGAGTGCTTCACCCATAGCAGGTAAGAAGCCATATGCGCTGAATGACTGGTTAAGTGAAATGGTTCCTTTGGCCAAGAAATTAAATCACTTGAAATTCAGGTGTACCAAAGGATTGTAAATCCTAAATGTAAAGATTATAGAAAATTGAAAACAATTTTATTATTTTTATAAGAGTCACTAAAATTAGGTGGTGAATTAAATTCCCAAACTAGTGAATGATGCTTTCAACTGCTAATTCATGCTTACCAGAGACACTGTTCTGTAACTTTTAACCGGGTTTTAACCCCTGGCGGTGACCCAAGTGTTCTACCTGCTCAGAAAGAGTCCTTACCTGTAGTCACACCAGGGGCACCGGTAGGGCTTCTCTCCCGTGTGCACCCGCTTGTGCCGAGTCAGGTGAGACTGGGTTGTGGAGGCAAAGTTACACTCGTCACATTTGAAAGGCTTTTCCCCTGTAATACATCAAGAAGTGTTGTACATGAATAATCATAAAAATTGGAAATGAAGGGATAAACCTGTTATTAACAATTAAAAAGAAATTTATTTCCATGAAATTTTAAGAGTACAGTTCAATGCTACACATATTTGGGACATTTAAAATTTATTCTCAGAGTTAGAAAGAAGACAGCCCCAATTTTTATTTCTCTATTGGAATGCAAGAATGGTACACAATCTATAGTTCACATGTAACTTACAGACAGGAATATAAATTTTAGCTCTGGCCTAGCACCGTATTTGAAGTCATTTGACAAACTATGTTACCTTAGAGCCATTATAAAAATCTCAATGAATATATAGTACAAAACTTATTATAATCTTAAAGGTAAATATGAAAAAAATAATAAAATAAAGCTATACATTGGTACCAAAGGAAATACTGTTAGAAGTCAAGGGAAATTACCATTCATTAAATGGAATAAAAGGAACAGAGGCTTCAAAGAAACATTCACACTGGTATTCACTAGCTCTTAAACTCTATCTCCCAGGTAGATATAACGGATCTATCCGCACATACGTCTCACCCACGACTCAGGGGCTCAAAAGCTCACACAGGACTCATGGCTGCCCTTCGATGGGCATCTTTCTCTCCTTTACTCACCCCTCCTCCACACACACATTCGAAGAAATCACCGAGTCTTATCAGTTTTTAGTTCCACTGGCCACACTGGCTGGTGAGCATGTGAAACATGGTATTTAACTTTAATTAATATAAATTTAAATTTAAAACTGATACTGGATTCACTTATTGAAAGAATGTGTATGTCTACCTGGGGCAGCTTGGGAATGTGAATCTACATTGTGAAGGAGAGTTTATCAATGTAAACACAGATTGTGGCCTTAGATGAAAATTTAGCCTCTGAGTGGTGATGTGCTTAGTAGAAGTGTCAATACACACACCAATTTCAAGCTCCTGCAATAAAACATCATGAAGTGTTGATAATAATGTTATACTGATACAATATTGAAATGGTAAGTTGGATGTATTTGGTTAAATTAACTACTTAAAGGGTAATTTCACCTGTTACTTTTTCTTTTTATAATGTGCTTACCAGGAAACTAAATATGACACATGTAGCTCACATTACAGGTTGATTGGACAGTGATGAACTAGAGAAATCCTCACCACCTCTTCCCCATAAGGTATAATGTAAGTACTGCCCTTCTCAACGGAAACTGGTCACAGAAATTCTGAGTATGATGGGTTGATTTTACATACAGCTGTCCCCGCTTAGCTGCCATTTCACTTGCAGGTTTCAGGTACCCTTGATCAACCGTGGTCCGAAAATATTGAATTTTCCTACCCATCAATCTTGTCTGCTCCTGACACCCAACCATGGACATCATCACAGAGCAGATGATCCTCTTCTGACATAAAGTCAAAGGTCAACAGTAGCCTAACACTATGGTTCAGAGCTGCATCGTTCTCCTCACTCCATCTCATCCCATCTGCACTGTCTCATTTAACATCATCCCAAGAAGGGTGAATACAGTGCAATCAAATATTCTGAGGGAGAGACCACATTCACATAGCCTTTAGTGCAGCATATTGTTATAATCGTTTTATTTTATTATTGCTAATATCTTACTAAAATTAATTTATAAATTAAACATTATCATAGATATATGTGTACTAGAGGCCTGGTGCACAAAATTCGTGCATGGGGGATTGGTGTGTGCCCCTCAGCCTGCACCCTCTCCAAGCTGGCACAATCCAGGACTGCTGGCTCTCAACTGCTCACCTGCCTGCCTGATTGCCCCTAATCACTTCTGCCTGCCAGCCTGATCACACCCCTAACCACTCCCCTGCCAGCCTGATCGACGCCTAACTGCTCCTCTGCCGGCCCGATTGCACCTAACTGCCCTCCCCTGCCGGCCTGGTCACCCCTAACTGCCCTCTCCTGCCAACCTGGTCGTCCCTGTTCTCCCCTGTAGGCCTAGAATCCCCCCAACTGCCCTCCCCTGCAGGCCTAGTCGCCCCCAACTGCCCTCCTCTTCTAGCCCGATTGCCCCTAACTGCCCTTCCCTGCCGGCCTGGTCACCCCTAACTGCCCTCCTCTGCTGGCCCGGTCACCCCTAACTGCCCTCCCTTGCCAGCCTGGTCACCCCTAATTACCCTCCCCTGCAGGCCTGGTCCTCCCCAACTGCCCTCCCCTGCAGGCCTGGGCCCTCCCCAACTGCCCTCCTCTACAGTCCTGATTGCCCCCAACTGCCCTCCCTTGCAGGCCTGGTCCCTTCCAACTGCCCTCCCCTGCTGGTCTGATCGCCCACAACTGCCCTCCCCTGCTGGCCATCTTGTGTCCACATGGGGGCAGCCATCTTCTGTGTTGGAGTGATGGTCAATTTGCATATTACTTCTTTATTATATAGGATAGTGATGTGGAGCTTGGTACTATCCACAGTTTCAGACATCACTCAGGATCTTGGAATGTATCCTCCTGATCATAACTGCATAACATTTAACTGATGCACACACACCTCACCTGCCTCTGCAGCCAGGGTAGCAGTTAGAAGCCAGACTTCTGGTTTCCTAATCCAGGTTTTGCCATAATTCACTCCCTAACTGTAAAATCTCCTGAGCAAAATCAGGAGGGTAATTCCACCAAACAAGCGGGGTAATTGTGAGGGTTAAACAAAATAAACTGATGAACAAAATGGAACCAGAACATGGATACATGGAACAGACTGGTAGGTGTCAGAGGGGAGAGGAGTGAGGTGACTGGATAAAGAGGTTAAGGAATTAGCTAAAGAATGTATATGTATAACCAGGGACACAGACAATATTGTGGTGAAGGCCAAGGGAGGAGGAGGTGGGAGTGGGTGACGGTGGGCAAAAGAGGGGAGAATGGGGACATATGCAATAGTGTTAATTTTAAAATTTTTTAATAATAATAATAAAAGAACACAAAGCATGTGTCCAGCACTTAGCAAGGTGCTCAATGACTTGGGATTTTTATCATTATGCGACTGGACTGCCTAACCACTGACTACTGCAGTCCTCTCACACAGCAATGCATCTCACCCAAGTCCCACTTCCAGTAGAGACAAACCTATAGCTTACCTAAGATAATTAACAGTGAATATAACATCAAGATATTCTTTAGCAGATCCTACCAGGAAATATTTTATTTATCCTTGAAAAACAAAAGACCATATACAAAGCACAGTAAAAATCTTGGGAGAGGATTTTTTACTCTTTTAGCCATGTGTCCTTAAAATAAATACCATCTACAAGATTCCAATCAAGTGGTCAACATGACTGTTCTCAGCTTCTTAATTGCTGTGGACAACTCAGTTATACTAACTGACTTATACAAAAACTCACTTTCATGACAATGGCAGGTTTTGCTTTCACTTGAGAGGTAATAGGGGATATTCACCCATTCATCTACTGAAGGATGTCTGAGTTCCTTTCATTTTGGAGTATGACAAATGAAGCAATTATGAATCTTCATGAGCAAGTCTCTGCTTGGGCCTACAGTCGTCCTCTTTTGGGTATGTATCTAGGAGTCAGATGACTGGGTTCTAGAGTAGGTACATTAATTTTGTGAAGCATTGCTAAACTGTTTTCTGAAGTGGTTTGACCATTTTACAGTCCTAGCAGGTGTGTATGAGAGTTGCTTTTGCTCCACATCATCACAGACATATGGTGTGATCAGTTCTTTGAATCTGTTTTTCTAATGATGCTGAGGATCATTTCATATGTATACTGGCCATACATTTATATTATTTGGTGAAGTGCCTGTTCAAATCTTTCGACCTTCTCAAATTGGCTGTGTTATAATTGTGTTTATAGAGTTCTTTATATATTGAAAATACATATCCTTTATAAGATTTGTGATTTACATGTATTTTTCCCCATGTATGTGGCTTGTCTTTCAATCTCTTCAGGGTCTGTGGAAGAGAAGTTTTAAATACATCAATGTATGATTTTTCAAGTTATGGTATTTTTCATTTCTGAATCAGGCTTCCCATGTGATATCAATTATTTGATTATGGTCACAAAGATTCTTCTGGAATTTTTATGTTTTTAGGTTTTAGATTTAGGTTATGATCATTTTGAGTAAATTTTTATATATGGTGTGATATATGAATCAAAGTCCATTTTTATTGCATATGGATAGCCAATTGCTCACCATGGAAGTAAGGGTCTGCTCTATAATCTTTACTCCATTTCTTTGATTATTTGCCTACCTTGATGCTAATATCAGAATGACTTAATTAATACACCTTTATATTAAGTTATGAAGTAAGATAGCATAAGTCCTCAAGTTCATTCATCTTTCTCAAACTTTTCGTTATTTCAGACTATTGCACTTCCATATGAGTTTTAACATCAGCTTCTCAATTTCTTTTAAAAAGAAAAGCCTGATGAGATCTGAAATGATCAGTGTGGAGGACATAAAATCTTAACAAAACTGAGTCTTCCAATCCATGAAGATTGTACATTACTCTATCCACGCCTTCTTTAATTTCTCAGGGCAGTATTTTGAAGTTGCCAATGTAGAGGTTTGCACATCCATTGTTAGATTTATCTCTAAATATTGTACATTGGTCAAAAACGATTGACAAAACATGCAAAATCTATTTTGTTCCCCTGATCTATCTGTGTGCCAATACAATCCTGTCATAATTATTGTAGCTATATAATAAGCCTTTAAGTCAGGTAGTACAAATCTTCCAATTTTAATATAATAAATCTAAGTGGCCAAACAATTTAAAGATATTTTTTAAATTAAACAAATTCACAACTATATTCTGGTATTTCCTTATTCCATTCAACCTAAGTTTGAAAATCTGTTGGCATGACTCAATAACTTGTTTGTTCTAGTAGCCTTGGTAGACAGCATTATCTATTTGTTATGAATTTGACAGGAATCATGGGGAGAAAAGGGTGATATTACAGATTCATTGCCTGAATCAGTGGTATAAATTGAAGGTCATCTAAATTCTTCAAAGTTAATGTTCTTGGTTTGGAGGTTAAACATAAGCACTTAAAAAACATAAATATAGCTTATTTCATTTAAATTTTATGGCATATTTATGTCACACAAGTTAAATTTAAAAACACTTTTAAAGAATAATGTCATTTATATTCTCTATAACTTTATTAATCTGAAGTTCACATTAAGCTAGCAATATATTGCAATAAACCAGTTATTTTGAACCTTCTCAGCTCATGACACATATGAACAAATGACTAAAATTCTGCGGCATGCAAAAAAAATATATTTTTTTGCTGATCTGACAAAAAAAAATAGGTAAAATTTTGATTCATTCACAGCAGATGGCTATTGTTGTGTTGGCTGTTGTCTTTTTTTTTCCCTTGACAATCTAGGGTAAAGAGGTCAGTGCCCCTGACTAAATAGTCAGATATTGCGTGTTTTAAAAATTCTTATGGCACGCTGGTAGAAAATCACGGTAATAAACTGTAAGTTGTTATTTCATATTTAACTTGACTATATAAAAATGTGTAATATTGAGAAAATCTGAATTATACACAGGCTGACAGATAAAAAATATAATATACCAAAATAAGCTACATAAATATTATGCTGTGGCCATTAAGTAAAGGCAGGCTCAAGCGTGTCTTCATAGTAGGCTCAGAATGGAGGATAACTGGTTGTACATTTATGTAAACTGCAGTTTATTCACGTCTGCACACAATAGTTAATTTGTAGCTCATTAATTTTGTGGCATGTTCAACACTCCTGTTTGAAGAGGTTAACTGTGTGTTTTTTAAGCCAGAAATGATAATTTCTTCAGGAAATTTTTTCAGGAAATACACTTCAGAAATAAAGAAGAACTTTCCTATTTGTTAGTTTCAATATATAGCCAAGAAAATTAACTCAACTTCTACATAGTAAAACCTGAAATCAAACCTTACAAATGTTAAGTAAGAATTTCAGTTCACTGATATTTGTTACTGGTGGAAATGAGATAGGTGCTATATGAAGAGGTGTGCACACTTGTTAAGAGAAAACTTCAGATGGACTGATAAGTTAATTTTGTCTACTGGGGCCAGTCCTTCTAAATCCTTTGTCATTCCACAGCCAGAAGGATGACAACATCTATAAGCAAGACATTAACTACTCTTGAAAATAGGGTTACCTGGATACGTCCTATTTAAAAAGCAGAATAAAGATGACATTTCCTTTCCTCCTATTTTCCTTAATATTACACACTTTTCTTTCTTTTTTAAAAATATATTTTTATTGACTTCAGAGAGGAATAGAGAGGGGAGAGAGAGATAGAAACATCAAGGATGAGAGAGAATCATTTATCGGCTACCTCCTACACGCCCCCTACAGGGGATTGAGCCCGCAACCCTAGCATGTGCCCTTGACTGGAATCGAACCCGGGACCCTTCAGTCTGCAGGCCAATGCTCTATGCACTGAGCCAAACAAGCTAGGGCCACACTTTTCTTTATGTGCAATAATTTTGTCCAAAATAACCAGGAAAAAATATTCTGCCTCTTCGGTTCCTCTGATAGAGTCAAGGAAAGATAAGGGGGCACCAGAAGGCCTGTGCATGGGGCAGGCCCTTGGGTGTCTGTCAGGCAGGCTGCCATGCCACCCGGAAGCTCACATTTGGCATCCACCACCCCCTCCCCCCGCCCCCCGGCAGCTGGGGCGGGAGGGGGGTGGGGGGGCGGGTTGAAGCTAGTCACTACTCCAACCACTTGAGAGGGTTGTTCCTGTGCCTGGAAGGAAGGGCTCTGACAGGGGGTGAAAGTAAACCTTGGGTTGAAAGATGTTCTGTGTCAGCCCACCAGGCAATTGGTTTGCGGGGGGTGGAGGGGGATTATTTCCACCATTTGGAACATCTTTGATACCTGTCCTTTCCGAGCTGAGTGTAATTGCGTAGGCAGTCTGTGGTAAAAAGGTAAACCGTGTCAAAGAGGAATGAAGCAGAAAAACATAGATTTCAAATGCACTACACAATTCCAGACTTGGGGGCTGGCGGGGGGATGGGGGGGGGGGTGGGCGGAGAAGCTGCATGTTGCTTAAATTTTATAAATCCAGTGTAAAAGCTAAGGACCTAGACTGAGTTACACTAAGCTGTTTGGTTGAAGTGTACAGTCTTAAGAACTGACTCTGGTATTAAAGAATCATGTGTGATTTGTGCCACAGTGGTAGGTAAGTGCCAAAAAGACAGATGCTCTGTCTGGGAGACATTGTCCTATACGGTATGAAGTTAATAGCAAAGTAATAAGGAGCCCCTGGACCCAACATAAAATAGAAAGTTGTGCTGCTCCATGCCGGCTTCCAGATCGATAGCCTGTAAACGCCTCAGCATTACCGGCCCCGCTGCGGGGGAAGAGCAGCGCCCCATGCTGGCAAAGGCAGCACACAGGAGGGTCGCCTGTTCCCCAGGGCCACCCAGCATGTGACAGGTGACAACAGTGGCACTGGAATGGTAACAACCAGTCATCAATAAACCGAAAAGAGTGAGAATAAAATCCCCGCACAAACACACCGTGCCACACACATACTTCCAGCTTCTCAGAGACAGTTGCAAGCCTGATGCCCACCCACGGGGCTCCTTCACCTCTTATGCAGAATCTTTAAGTTGCTGGATTAAAAATGTATGATCGCAGGTCACTTCTGTAAACTTAACATAAACATTTGTGTTTACAAAGTTAAGTCTGTGTTTACAACATTATGTTCAACACTGGAAATTTCTCTTGGGCTCAGTAATGACTCCTATCCCATAGGGAAATCTAAAGCATGTAAACTCAAGATCTAAAAGAAATGGCTCGCATTAATTTCCATTGACCTTACAAGTAGCATAATGGGTATTACAGCTACCTGCAGCTAACTTCTAAATATCACATATCAAGAATAAAAATGTACCACAAACAACATGTATCTTCATTTCATGCCATTTTGAGTTTAACTGCCAAACTCAGCCACACTCATGCTATCTTAATGAAAGTGCAACACTTAGTTACCAATTCTGTTACCACATAATTTAACATCTAAGCTAATCACTTTGAGTGCAGAAAGTGGTTGTGTTGACAATTAGAAGGGACAATGCCACAACAGCACTATTCCAGGCACATATAATTTAGAATTATTAAAATAATTACTTATAGGACCCATTATAGCACACCAAGTAGGTCAACAATTTTTATGAATGTTTAAACGTTTCACCTTTAAGTGTTCCTAATGAAGGCATCATTTTATTTTGTGAAATTACCAAGAATGCATTATCGTGAAAAACAAAACCCCCTTCAATGTCCACATCCACTTATGTTGCCCTCTTCATTGCTATCCACTCTTGATAGCAAAAATTGAAAAAGTAATGAGTTCAAACCTCATGTACCAGTGAAACACACTGAGAGATTGCTGGCAGCAGTTCTCAACCTGTGGGTCGCAAACAATGAAAATACATCCTGCATATCAGATATTTACATTACGATTCTTGACAGTAGCAAAATTACAGTTATGAAGTAGCAACGAAAATAACTTTATGGTTGGGGGTCGCCACAACATGAGGAACTGTATTAAAGGGTCGCGGCATTAGGAAGGTTGAGAACCACTGTTAGAGGGTTAGGTGGTTAGGGAGGCGAGACAGAGTGGGGCAGGGAGGCTGTAGGTAAGGGGGTTGAAGGGGTGATGAGCAGACTGACTGAAAGGGGGCCCAGAGAGGAAATCGGACCTTGGCTCAACCCATGAGGTCCTCCACCTGCGAGGTCCGAGGCAGAGTCAGGCCTACAGTGAAGGGCCTACTGTATCTGTGCTTTGGAGGCCAAACTCTTTTCCCTCCTGTTTGCTATGAGTTTACTGAGAACACCTGATCCATAAAACATGAGTAGGCCTAGTTTTCAACAATATAATAATAGATGAATTGAAATCTTAGGGTATTCAAACAATTTTCAGTGGCTTTTACGAAAGCCGAGCAGACAACCACGGAGGACCAGGAGCGATTCTGGGTGCCTGCCTGGACTGCTCTCGAGTACTGACCTGTATGCTGCCTGCGGTGCTTGGTGAGGGCGTGCCGGGTCCCGCCAGCGAAGCCACAGAGGTCACACAGGAACGACTTCTCGCCTGTTGCAACAATAAACAGATGAGGGACTGCGGAGGTCACAGATCATTAAAACATATCTATCAAGGCTTTCAGGGTTACTAATTCCTCCAATCAAATGTTTCCATGTAAATATGTCAAATGGGAATGAAATTACCACTGCGGTTTATTGACTGTGATAAAATCTGAAAAGCACCACTGAACATAATTACATACTTGTCAGACCCATAAAAATTAGCTTTATTATCAATGGAATGGTTTTGTACAACTTCATTTCTGGTAGATGTCTTCCAGATGGGGCTGCTTTATGCACTTGAACAGTTTTTATGCATATCCTGATTTTTTACAATTCCCATACATCTGGCCTTTCTGAGCTGAGTAAAGACTGCTCGGAATAGTTAATATACAGTATATATGATTTTGCTTAAATAACACAATGAATTTTCTAACAGCTAAAGGACACTGAATTGGTTTTACCTGATTCTATCAGGGTCTTCTTTAATAAGTTCCTACTTAATAATGTGAATTAAATGGTTTCCTGGAACATACTGAAGATCCAAGTATCAATAAAATCTACATTACTCAGTACCAATAGCAGTTCAATGCTGTTTATGTTTCTCAAACTTCCAAGGCATAAGAAAGAAAGGGTAGAGATTGCTAAAGAAATGGTACAACACTCCTATTATTCATCTTTAATGATAACTCTGGCCTGGAAACTGCAGCAACAATTAGAGACAGATTTGGCAGACTCAGTATTTGTTAAAAGTGTGTAAATGCTCATTTTTAAAGCATTTTTACACAAGCTAACATTTTGCCCTGCATGTTATAAATGCAATCTATCTTTCTACTGCAGCATATTTAGGCAATAAGTGTCGGTAAGCCAGGCAGTTTATCCCATAAGGCTCACGAAGCAGGGCCAGCGAGAATAAAATGCTAACCTTGGAGAGATCCAGTGAAATTATACAATAGTTTTCCCAAACTGAAATAAATCATTTGTATCTATCTTTATCTACTTTACTCATTTAGATGTTTTAATGCAACAAGTCTTCGAGGGCTCTGTCCGAGTCAGCCTGCTTCGTCCTCAACCATTTTGGTGTGTCACAGCGGAGATTTAGCGTGAGGGGGTTGGAAAATGGTGATTGCCTTTTTTAAACTTAGAAACAATAGTAACTATAAGAAGACAGAACAACTTTGGTAATCAAAAAGGTCTTCCCCTTGCATAAGAGCATGACTAGGTTTTCTAACTTAAACAAATATGTGTTAATAAAGAGTTTAACATTATGTTTAATCCTATTTGTAATGGCATGTTTAAAATGTTCATTATTATCATTTACAAAATAGAGCTGAATTTAAATATTTTTCCTATCTTTACTTTCCTATCTTGGGGTTAAGTTTATTCCTTGACATCACTATTTCAATACAGAAAAAAGGAATAGAGTAGATGGGCTGTGAAGAATAAAGTTTAATTATAATCACTCATTTAATTATTTAATCAATTAAAAATATAAATCTTTCTAACTAGCTATATTATCAATTAAATAACACGGAACGTAGACTTTTTTAAATCCACAAAGATAATTGCTTGTTAATATTAACATACTATTCTACACTGGGGTAGAACTCTTCTCCACTATTTATTCCTCACCACTCTCTTGTGGCATGAACTGCCTGTGCATGTGGGAATGTGTGTGCCAGTTCACACACACACGCACACTTGGTGGGCTGTGCCATTCAGCCGGCCAAACCTCTGATGAGGAAGGAGTACTCTCACCTGGTTCGGATCCCAGAGGAGTATGACCGTTTCTCTCACTGGTAAACTCTGTGACCTACATCTTTCTTATGAAATATACTCCCAAACATAGAAAACTCCTAATGATGTATGTTCTTTTCAGGTACACAGGCTTTGGGTACATATTAAGTTTTGTTCCCTTTCCCGGTTTAACATATTTACCAGCACAAAGACAACATTATTTTTCCATGTGATTTGGTTCTAGATACATCAGTGACCTTGAATTTGATGTGTAGAGTTTATTTGTGATGTTAGTCTACAATGGCTTGTATGTGAGATTTACCTTGGTGGCTTGATGTGTTTGGCATTCCACATTCAATTTTCACCTATTTTGAGGAAGCGGGGAGCGGGGGTGGGGGTGGGGGTGGCGGGGGGGAGAGTTGCGTTGGAATGGGCAACACAGTATTTTTCAAAAGAAAATTTAAGAAAAACTAAATGTAATATTTTACTACATGTAACAGGGGTTCATGTAACATGCCATATTTAGCTGATAGCAGAGATATAATAGGAGACTTTTCTTAACAACTTGAATTAGTTTCAAGTGTGCCATTTTGCATTCAAATGCAGAAAGACACGGAAACCAATCCTTTATTTTCTATTAGAAAACAGCCACTGTCCCCTATCTCTCATTATGGTGCAGACTACAAGACCTAACAACAAAAATCCATATTATTGATCCGGCCAAGTCTCCACAATTATTCTTTAGAAGGAAACGCCGACGATAAATTACATCTGCACTGGCTTTTCATCTGCTGTTCGATATAAGTGATCTCTCAGGGCAGGCTAGAGACCTTAAATCGTCAACGCCCTTGTCAAGGAAGCCGAGGAGGCCTGGGCTTCCACAACTGCTGCAGAAGAACTTTTAACCTATAATTTCTAACAATAATATAGGATTCTTGGCAATCAGAAGAACATTTGGGAATGCTGATTAAAATTTATTTTTTCCTTGAAACAAAATACTTTTTGAGAGATGTGAAGAGAAGGAAAACCAGGAAAATACCAAACAGCTCTCGGTAGTACAGCTCTGGTGAGGGAAGGAGAGTGCTTGAATGCACCTGGAAGGAGTTCGGGCCCACTGCCCGCAGATAATGAAAACACGTCATAAACACTGACCACAGCAGGTACTCAGGGACATGTTTGTGAAGGTCAGATTGAGAGTCCTCGGCACCACACCCAGCACAAATGTATATTCTGTGTGTGCTTTCCATCACTTGGTTTGAAAATCCATATAAATGTATGAAAATCCTTTAAATGTATAGCGGCTAAATTCAGATGAGTCTTTTTGTATTAATTATCAAAAATTCTTGAATCTGATAGCACTCTGCTCTTAAGAGAAATAATGAGTGGATTAATTTTTTTTAAAAAAGGTGCATAAAATGGAGATTTAATTATGTTAACAAATATGATGGTGCTGAGTTTATCTCAGTAATAAAATAAAAGACCAGTTCTTCACAAATCAAGAATAGACCTAAAAAGATGTGTTTAAACACATACACATATATGTACACACACAACAGAAATGAGCTTTTAAACAGGGAACTTGTTCTGTTTAACTGTACACGTGCAACACTCAGCTCCACACACACATGTTCAAATGTCAGTTTAACGCTACCCTCTCATTCACACACAGTGAACTGATACCATCCTCTTTGCTATAGAATTACCACAATCTTAAACTCTGCAAAAGGGAAATCATTTCCACGGGCCCCTCATGCAGGGGGCAGCACACCTGTGTGCGTCCTGTAGTGGTCTTTCATGGCGGAGGCCGTGAGGAAGGAGTAGTGACACGTGGGCCATGTACACTTGAAAGGCTTTTCTCCTGTGTGCAGCTTCATGTGATTGTTCAGGGCCCACTTCTCGGTGAAACTTCTATCACACAAGTGGCATGTAAATTTCCTGCATGAAGAAGAAAGAAAACCATGTAAACGTGACCCGCACAGGCCCCTGAAGGCCCCAGCAGCAGCGTGTTCTAGCCCTGAGTGGGGCAGCGCAGGCTCGGGGAGAACCGCAGGCCGGGCCTGTCATGTCTGTATAACCAGGCATTGATTTTGCTGTCCAGGCCTGGCACTCCAGCCATTTATTCTCTGCTTTGCGGTTGGGCCCAACGGGTTTGAAAAATTCTGTTACAGTCCAGTCACCCCTGAGGCAAATGTGAGAATAGATTTCACCTGTACAGGCCTACACCACTTATCCAGGGCATGGGCTGTCAGAGCAGAGGCTAAATGAAAAGCTATCCATACTAAACTACTCAGACAACCCCTGCTCTCTGCAGGCAGAGGCGGCTGCTGCTGGCTGCGTGGGAGCCCCCACTGCTCCTGGAACAGCAGTGCCCCTGCAGGCACCCAACTGCCCCCACCACAAAGCTCCCAGGGGAAGGAGGTCCCAAAGGCAGCTGCTGAAAAGCTGTCCTTCTGAGTCACCACATGGCTACATAAAAAGTTGGCTTTGATAAAAATAAAATTATAAATTCTTTTATTTCATAAAATAAAATTAAAAATAAGCCTTTGAGAGAAATAAATCTCAATTAGTTCCCATATGAAAAAAAAAACACCTGAAAATAACAAAGCAGTACTCACAATATTTCAGCCCCAGAGCCCACAGTTAAAGATACCTTCAATGATCAAAGCAGTATGAACCATGAACAAAACACTTGAATAGTCCCTCTGGTTAGTGTTCTGTCCTGTTTCACTATCACTCATGAAATCACTGCTAAAATTTACTTTTTATTACTAATACAATTTAGTTTAAAGCCTTCCCTGTACCTACTATAGTAGTGTCCAGCTAATTAATTCAGGATAATGAATAGTCAAATAAAAGCAAATTAAACCAAATATTCAAAATTAAAATATTTTAGTAAGTTGATAAGCACTATGCCACAGAAGAGAAACTACATAGCAGCTTGATTTGATTGCCTTAAATTGGTCTATACTTTTAGCAAGTTAATGCAACTAAAAAAACCAGGATTACAGTATGTGTTTTAAATTATGATATAAATATGGAGGTGTATATTCTTTGCATAAAGCCTTTAACTATGATTTTACAAATTTCCTTCATCTCATAAGGGTAGAAAAAGAATCTCAAGCTCCAAATAATTACCTTTCTCATTTTGGGGTAAATGTCGATTACTTTAACAAATTAATCATTCAGAGTTTCACATATTCTTATGAAATTACCTTTTATAAAAATCCCTCTTCATTTGCTACATGTGTTTATATTTTTATAACATTAGATCTTAAATGCAACGGGAGTGAAAATTACTAAATATTCATACAAAATATCTTAAGTGCTTCATTACTATTAAAATTGCCAATTAATATATCTATATAATGTGTGACATTATATTTGCAACCATTAACTCAGACTGACTTTGAAATTACTACATCATTTGATCATTGCTTACTGGTGCTACAGAATGACAAATATAGCTAAATACTTTGAAATGCACTGTAAAAAAAATATCATGTCCGTATATCTCTTTGACGGGTCTTCATACATTTAACATTTCAAAACCATGACAGGGATCTTATTTCTAAGATAAATTCCCCTATCTACTTATTTCTTCATGTATTTATTGTGGATCTAACCTTCTCCTACAAGAAATAAATAAGGAGGTTAAATAGATGCTATCTTTTAACAAATAGTTTCTCTAGACTGTATTACAACTTTATGAATGACAAAATAAATCCCTCATTTTTAAATCTACCATGATGTACATTTAACAAAATTACTTCTATGAAACCTCAATGCATGTGCTCTATTATTCATACGTAATAAAAATGTTAAACCAGAGCTTAGTGCCTGCCATGAAGTGACAAAAGCCAGATAACAAAGAACTGAGGCCACTGCTTGACTTTCATAAAACCTCGTGTCTTCCTGTTTGCTTTATGAACACAAATACGTGTACTGGTGACCAATGTAGAGAGTCCTTGTGAAGATTAAGACACCCATTAATGGGTATTTCCTGGGACCCCATAAATTCTGAGTCTCAAATACTGTAGACTAGCTGCCTTCATGCAGCAGGTCAGCAAGGACAATACCCACTGAGGGAGCCCTGGCCGGCTTCAGGTAGGTCTTCAGGACTTGAGCTAATGAGCAGTGCCCTGGGGACACAAGGAAAGGTGCCAGCGTGTGTGGGGACCCAAGGAAAAGTGTCAGTGTGCACTCCAGGTGGAGCCACAGGGACCCAAGGAAAGGTGCCAGTGTGTGTGGGGACCCACGGAAAGGGGTGCGCTGTTGGTGGAGCCATGTCCCTGGTTACCAGGGGTTCAGATGTCTATTATGCTAAAACTTTTTGGAATAAAGCCTTTTTTCAGGTGGTCAGCTGTGCTGTAGAAGTCAGTTAAGATGTTATCTTTTAGTGTAAATTCACATGCTGGTGAGTCAGCTCAGACTCCTGGCAACCCTGCGAATGAGTGAATGAGTGATGTCTACCATGTTCTGTCCTCAACAGATGTCCTCAGCTCCTGTGGACTCAGGCCTATGGCTTCGTTTATGGGGGCACTCCATCTCTTACTTGGTAAATTTATAAAGTTTCCTAAATTAAATCCTCAGCATTTTCCCAGCACTCTTGCTGTACTTACACTAGGTTTATTTACTGTAATATGTGCTATTCTGTCATTAGCACCCCCAACACATGGAAGGCCCTGGGCCTTTGTTCTCCCCTGTGAAAGCCATTGGGGGACCCCCTATGACTCACTGGTGACATGATTTACGCTCACAGAGTCAAGGTGAAAATCCATATCTGTAGACTTAAAATTTTGAGGAGAGAGTACTAAATATCCTCATTGTTAGATATATGACAAAAACTAAAAATTTTCACAGGGTGTCCCTTGCCATTATGTACAAAGTTAAACTAAAAAACTACTAGGGGGCTGAATTATGACTGCATGAATAACACCACTCCCTTAACAGACACTTATGCCTCAGTGGAACTCTGTGAGAGCAACTGCTTGTTTTTGAATGTCAAAAGGGCAGACAAGATATGTCAAAATATATTAACTTGCATTTTTAGTTGCATCCTTAACTTTAGCTTTCCATTATCCACAGAAGCCAAGTGGCCTAATTGGGGAGCTATACTTATTTTCTCAAATCATACTTTAAAATGTTATTTCAACATGTAAAAATCCTACTAGTTGGATTATTCATTCCATTTATTAGTAACATAATTTTTAAAAATGCCCCTATCCCACTTACATATGAAGATAAAAATATTTTGATGCTCTGGTACTTTACTACCTTATAATATTTAAAATATAGTAAGATGTGTCACTAGCATATTTTTATGTTCTTTACTAATCTCTCCAATTCAGGATAATTTGGAAACTAATTGCGTTGGCGATGTTTTTAGAGTTATATTGTACTAACTCTTTCTCCTTGAAAGCCTGTCTAGGTACACAACCAAGAGACTCTGGCACAAGTACAGATGTAGAAAAAAAATGTCCCCATTCAAATGTGAGCAACCTTAAATACCCACTGGGGGAGAAAGTAAATAATGGGCTTAATCATAAAATAGAACATCATCGTGCAGGTAAAATGATCGACTAGGACTATATTTATCAGCATGTGGGTTACACCATCTCTGAAACTTAACAGCATTAAAACAAGTTAGATACAAAAATGTACCACTGATATAAAATTTTTCAAAGAAAGGAACAATATTAAACAGACATATGAAATCCATGTGCAAAGATATTCATGGCATCATAATCTGAGAATACTGCTTGCTTCTGAGAAGAGGGGAGCAGGCGTGCATATGGGAATAGAGTGTTAACTATAACTGTATGATTTTGTTGTTTTTTTAAAAGAAGAAATTGAAGTATATACGGCCACATGTTAACATCTTCCAAAGTGTTTCCATTGTTTTTGAAATTTTTCCAAATTCAAAATGAATATTTTAACTAAACTATCAAACAATATTTCACATCTTCTCTACATGACACATTGGACCAGACTTGTCAAATTATTAAGTCACACAAATTCACATCCGCAAAAAAGAGTGCAGCAGTAAGCCAGATGTAGTATGGCACAAATGAAATTTAATAAAAGAACAAGCTAAATTTTTTCAAGATATTAAACAATAGTGCAGTTATTATCTTTGAAAACTGTGAAACAAAGTTGTTGACTGATCCAAAACTAAACTGATGTTGCAAAAACTTAATTGACAGGTACTGCTGGTCTTTATGAATAAACCAGAATACAGAGCAGTTAAAACAATACAAGGTTTGTATGATTCCTAGCAAAGCAGTCCAATCTATACTAATAAAAGCCTATGTGGTCATCACGCCCTCACACCGTGATGCCCTCACGCCATAACAATCCATCACCAGGAGGTTGCGCGCGCAGCGGGTGCGCAAGGGTGGGCGGGGCTTCATGCACAGAGAGGTGCACACGAGTGGGCGGAGACTTGATATGTGTGTGGCACGGAGGCGGGTCCTGGAGGCTCCTCGCTGAGCCACGGAGGCAGGTCCCGGTCTACCTGTTTGGGGCAATCCATCGAAGAGCCCCAGATGGGTGGGTGGGGCCTACCTCTATCGATTGTGGGGCTCCTGCATTGTGAGAGGGCAAAGGCCAGGCTGGGAGACCCCCACACACACACACTGAGTGCACAAATTTTGTGCACCGGGCCTCTACTGTAATAATAAATTTGTTCCAACAACTCTAAGTTACCAATGCAGTTTCTTTGGAAGAACAGCCTTTTTACATTTATTATAACTTAATAATTATATGAAACTATAATAAGATAAAATGAAAATAGATCATGATGGGGTCTTTGCCCAGTCGGCTTACCATATGAATTTCTGCTGGGCTACAAATATAACTCAGGACTCACTTTCTTAAACAAAGAAACACATAAAAAGGCAGTTAAAGACAACCACTGAAGGGCAACTACAATGCTCAACTAAATCACATGAGCACCTTATGCTAAAGAAGTACCCAAGGATAACAAAGCCAAAGGGAGAAGTTCCAGAAAGTCTGCCAAAATAACAAATGCAGTACCTATTAGCACCAGGACAGGGAGGGGCCTGCACAGGTCTGTCCTGGGAAAGAGCAAAGTAAAATGTACAATACTGCCTTGGGAGTTAAACTACTTATTCATGCAAAAAAGGTGCTAAATCCACATTATATACCCCAATATTATTCCACAGTAATCCTGTTAATTTTATTTCTATGAGATTTCAGAGTACTATAAACATGTTTCAACAAAATATGCAATTTTAAACATGTAAAATAAATCTCTCTAAATTAAAAAACTGAAAAGGTACACTGATAGCTAAATAATAACTATGAAGACACTCAGGATCCCTTTGGCCATTTTCTTCCAAATATTTGTGTGTGTGTTTGTTAGGTCCACAAAAAATTCTGACTCAATGAATAAAGTTATATTCTGAAACCAAAATTATTCCATGATAACACCAATATCCAGATTATTCACATTAAGCTAGAGTTTGAGAGAGGCCTGTTTCCGATTACATATAAAACCCGAGCATGATTTATATCAAGAAGCCACAAAGACCTAAGATTAGAAAGGTTTCATTTACTAAATGTAACTCTTCAGGCTCAAGTGCAGCTTAGAGATGAAGATGGAAACCTCCTGAGGGCTCTTACACAGCACCCAAGGGAGCTTGCTACTTAAGCCAAGAGTCTTGAGTGCATTTTTGCCCTGAACAGGTGATAATTAGCCTAATTAACAGGCTATATCCTTGTTAACTAGTTGGGACAGAAATTTAACCTCACTCATGCCAAAGCGTGTCATTTTAAAACCTCTTAAAATATCACTCAGATTTTAATTACTGTGAAATATATTTTTTGGCCCTTTCTATTCAATCCAAAGGTTGAAAAGCTTTGTGTCAAAATTACTTCTGGGAGAAGCATTAAGCAGAAGATTAATCCCAGGGTGACTTAGTCAACTAAGAACCAAGAGAATGACTACTTCTAAAGACAAGCATTCAAGGATTATAAGGGCTATGCCCACAAAGATTTGAATTCATTCTTCAAAATCTCATTCCTATGAAATTTTTCTCTGTCAAAGAGACCACAAAGTCTGACCTGCCCCAAACCATCCTAGTGAGTTTGGTTGGAATTTCTCCCATTCCACTGCATATGCTGTGTCCAATGCTCACCAGCATGACAAGTGTCTTGGATTAGGGTTAGGAAAAGCTCTGTGTAAAGGATAGTATTTTCTACTTGATGGGCCATCAGGTCTCTGATAAATTTACTCAGTGCTGCCTTTGCAGCTCAGACAGAAGTAGCCACAGACAGTCTATGAACAAACAAGTATGGCTGTGTGCTAATAAAACTTTATTCACAGAAACAGACAATCCCTGGCTTGGATGACAGGTCACACACCCCACCCACAACCACCATGGCAGCCTGATTTATAGGAAGTAAAAGAGCATGAACTGAGCTCTGCTGGGAAACAAAGGTCCACTAAGCCCCCTTCCTCAGGACCTGAGAAGTTGGTTTAGTCCTGAAATAGTTCATGTTCCCTGCAGGGCAGGGCTTTAAAACGCCAACATGAGAACAGGTGGAAGGAATTATACTGCATATGAGACCCATTCCAGTCCCAGGCTGCCCCATGCCTTTCAAACTGCCCCCTTTCAAGTGTATGGCAGAGCTGGAGGCCGTGGTAAGTTGAAACAATTAACTAGCCATAGAAGTCAAATCCTGGCACACAAGACATATATTAAATTGCCACAATCCTCTGGTCTGGACTAAATAAAATTTTATCTCTTCAGGTTAGGTAAGAAAACAATGGATTTATGTAAGGAAGGTTAAAATAGCAGGTACAAATAAAGGACTAATATTACTGTTTAAATAGTATGTAAAAAGAGTTTCTTTTAAATCATTGTTCTTAGTGATATAATTTGAGAAAAGAATGACAAAATGGATTTAAACCCATTTATACCTTCATCCCAAATACCCTGACCAATATCTAGTCATTGGACATTCACAACACAACCATAAAAACCTTCAAATTAAAAGGGTTCATGATTTCTACATCAATTCATCAATTTAAAAAAAAAAAAAAAGTATGTGTTGGAACCTATAGTGTATCTAGCAATGCTCCGTGTATGGAAGAACTACATGCCTCCCCAGGAGGAGCCAATAAGTCAGTGGTCAACATGAACGTCAGTGAAATAATCAGAACACTAAGGTGCCACATTATGTTGGACTTCTTAACAAAGCCTTAAAAGACATTTAGAAAAAGCATCAGTGAATATAGAATGAAACCGTTGTTAAATCTTTCAGGTAAGGTTTAGGTGAGTCCAAAAGGATAAAACAGGTTAACTAATGGAGGCCGCAGATAATGACCAGCTTGGAGGCAGAGAAGAGATGGGCAGAGACAGGTGGTGGTGTGTGTGAACAGTGAACCAATCCTAGTATCTGGGGGGAGAGGGTAGAGAGCATGCTGCATAGAAGGGAGAAAGGTGGGTTTACCTTTGAGTAGTATCCGTGACCAAATAGATACAGCACATATGCATACAAGCCACGAATATGTGCATGTCTAGAATAAACCCCACCGAAACAATGTCTACATCTGAGATTGATGATGAACTCTTTTATATTTGGCCAAGAAACACACAGTCTTCAAAACAGCATGTCAGCTACAACAAAGACTGCTGTGCTTCAAGCCATGTACCTACAGATGCACTAAAAGTGGGATTTCAGGGAGCTAAGAACCTAGGCCTATCTCGTTTGCATGGCAATGAAAAAAAACCTTTTACTAAGTGTTCAGATGACAGTCTCACCAGTTATAGTATTAGAATGAACTGGTAACAAATATTAGATAGATTTTACCAATAAGACCAAAAAATAGGCTTACAGAAAGGAGAGAGCACTAATTAAAATATATCAAATACAAAATCAACTAAAGTAATTTTCTTTTAAATTTTAATATATTAAAATTAAACATATATTAATGGAAGCTGAGTATGAACAAAAACTTCTGTCTCAATGCAGAAGTTTTGTCAGCTCCAATTATCCAACAAAGACCTACTGGAGTATGAATAAGGCAAAGACGACACGGCTGATTCTAAGTGGCAATTGGGTTCAACCCTAACACAGGAGACTTTAATGTTCACACCAGAGTCCTGGGAGAGCCAGACACTGACACCAATGTGCTCACTTCCTGACCCTGTGCATCAGTTAGGAGACAGGACCATCACTATCCCAAATGTAACTTCCTACAGGTCTCAAATATACAGTAGCTTAAACGGAAATGAAGACAATATTTCTCTACAAAAGAAATATAAATCTACATTGAATATACGTTACATATTTTTTTCCTAAAATATATTGTTGTAATATTGAAACATGTCCCATAGATGCATATATTTATATACCAGCAAATACAGCATATTTGCAATTTATCCTGTAGGTCCTTACATCTTTCTTATGGAAAGTGAATGTCTAGACATTTGACTATACCTGCCAAATTTACACAGGCCCCCCAGCCTGGTGGAGACTGTGTGACTTGCCAGGCCTGGGAAAGGCAGCCTTTCCCAGCTCAGGTGTTTCACTGTCTTGGCCTCTGTCATCATCGCAGCCTTCTAGCATGTCAGGATGATCTAGGGGACCATTTGAGCTCAAGGTAAGATTAGCTGGAAGGCTAGAGATGTGTTGCCCAGTAATCCCAGAGTTCAGGACAGAATTGACCCTTCCTAAGACCTCAGCCTGAGGAGCAGCAGTTAAGCACACTTCTAGAGTAAATATCGGGGTGTTTGTGCACTGGAGCGTCACCAAGACACAACATGAGTTCAGAAGACGAGTCAATGTAGATGTCGCCGAGCCTGACATGGATCAGAGCTTGCTTTAAATCATAACATCATTCATATATGTAGAAAGATTATCTTGTAAGGAATGTGATTTGTTCCGTTTTAAATCATAAGTTCAGGGAAAGTCCTAAAATTAGATTCACATAAGAAACAAATTTTTAAGGGATGTATAGTTGTTGTGATCCAACTGAGAATGAGTTAATAAGATACAAGCAGGCTCTGGGGAGTGGTAGCGGCCAGGGAGAGGTCAATGGGGGGAAAAGGAGACTCATGTAATACTTTAAACAATAAAGAATTTAAATTAAAAATAAACAAGATACAAGATGGCTCTTCACCATTGCTGCACTCTCCACTGTGCATTGGGTACAAAATAACTTGCATGAACCAAGCAACACTGGGAATGCATGCGTCTCTGAGGCTTATCTGGATGGAAAAGCCCTCTTAAATGCAGGGCAAAGCAATTAATGCCACTTCTTCCCAGTACAAAGAATCATCATTTACTGTAAAACTTGGATGTGTGCAGCTATGATTCCTCTTTTCACAACGTAGATTTGCAGTTTTCATTTACTTCTCGTATATTCTAAATTATTTTGAAAAGATAAATTCAGATAGGCATCTATAGAGATCATTTATACTAATTTTTCAAATCTTCAACACCTCAAACAAAAGACCATGTGGAATAACATTATCATTTATTATATACCTTCCAGCATTCAAAATATTAAACTAAATTTCCTTCTAATATAATTAAGTGTCTGAGCAAAAACAACTGGAAGGATGTATATAGGTGAAGAAATATATTTAAACTTGGCAGAAGTACAGAGTTAGGGAGGATAAAATACAGAACTGACTAAAACTATCAAAAGAAGGTTAACAACAGGAAAGACTTTTCAATTATGGGTTGGGAAGGAATAAAAATGAAAGTTAAAGTATTTGCCAGTTTAGACTTTATGCTAAAAAGAAAACATAGCCATTCAGTTCTTCATATTGCTACTATCTTTTGATTAAAGGTTTTAGACCAAGCATGTCAAACTTGCGG